TATCATCTTGTCGTGTTCATGTGCTTGACGGCGATATCGATCAATGCCTTGTCTTCCGATTATTAGCAACATGATTTAATAGCCACATTCACCTCACGTGTACGAAGGGAATGAAAGCGGCCCACCGGATGTGCCGTTATTCTTGTGCACCCAACAAGTCGTCGGTGATCTCGATGGGATATATATAATCACAACTCAGGGTATGCGACGGGTGAGAAGTTATCTGATTAGTGAGCCACAATATACGTATCATTGCCGCATCAGCTTGACAAGCGCCCATTAAGTTATTACTTATTGTCCACATGATTCATGATGGCACTCATCTTGGTGGCACTAGGACGTAGCTATATAGTAAGCCATGTCCTTCGAAGTTTCGGCACTACTCTATTATTAGCAGCACGGATCACCGTTATCCTGGCTAGCAGAAATTGAATATCAGAACATCGCTGATCGTCTGAACATTTTTCAGGAAAAACTTATTTTGCACATGATGGTGCTGAGTTCCGCCGGATTTCAGTAATCTGGACTCTGGAGGACAAACATCACATACTCATTCGGTGGTTCATTGTAATACCTGTCACGCAATAAATTTAACCTTGCAAGGTGCTGCGTAGATCTATGGAACCTGTATTCTGCCTCTCAGAATGCATTAAAAAGAAGAATCGCCAACGAGAGATTACTGAGATTGCGGCCCTGCTCGCATGAGCTCACTGGGACCGATCGTATTGACGGTGAACTGATAAAGCTGATTGTCGTAACCGGGCTTTCCCGAACTGGCGAGATGCAATGAACGACGATGCATGATATCTGGCTAGATGAAACGAAATTTTAATTTTGATCCATCAGATTCCAGATAAGACTCACTCACAGTACGGCAAGACATCCACATCGATTATACGACTCCGGATTCGGCTTGGTGCCCAACAGGTGGTCGCTTTCTCGCGCACAACGTAGTACATGTTGGTACTTGAGAGTTGTACGATCTCAGAGGTGGGAGTCGGCCTTGCATGCCGTTAGAGATGTCACATGGACAGAACATGCCAAAGATCTGGAACAAATGGATTTCTGTCTCGTGGAGATTTATTGAGTCCGCAATCAACAACCGGCATCTCACTCAGCCTGGCAGCTTTCTTGAATCACATCTCCATTTAAATGGGCAGCCACCATGCCGCGCAACTACGCCATAAATACGTTCATCAACACGTTCTGACACTGCTTTACTTATCAGCCCCTTCAGAATAAGCCTCACTTGCCCATGTGCACAAGCAGCTGGACTGACCGATGAATTAGGCTGCGTGTAGCCAGCACCACATGGGAATCATGGGAGCTCGCCTGTCACATGCTGAAACGCTACTTCAAGAACATTTAAGCATACATAGGCTGATAGGAGAATCGAAGCGAAGCATAGAAGAAACAGTTAATTTAACTATATAAAATCGCGGGAATGTAAGATGATGCCAAGTGTTTGCGGGAGTGCTAGTGATACGGCGTGGTGTTACCATGGAGATCCTCGCAGGCTTGGCCCTCCAGATAACTGCTCGCCGTTTGTGAGCTATAGAAAGAAAGTAAGTCTAGAGGAAAGAAGGAGAAGATGATGTACAATACCACAGCATTAATCTGCTTATGAATCAAACACAAAACTAAGTTGCCAGTCAGCAAGGTACGACAAGCAGCTCACACATGAAACTCACAGTCCAAATATGACATGGCAGCATTATTTTGGTCTTCGACAAGCATGTCACTAAACTCAATTTCCGTCCCATCCATATTTTGGCGAACGAGAAGCATTTTCGGAGTGCGACCTCGCTGAGCGTAGCGATGCGTGAGTATATTTCTAACCTGAGCAGACAATCGAGTGTGAAGAACTGGGAGCTGGATCTGTAATAACGAAGATCAAAGAAAGGACATTTTGGTCAATCTGGGCACTAACGATATTCGGATCCAGAGTTAGGAGGTCGTCGACACCAAATAGGTCAAGAAGTAATTGCGGAGACACACTGGAGCCGACCCAAAATATCATGAGATCTTCGTTATCTGATGGAAGGACATAGGTAAGGAAGTTATACCGAAAGAAGTGCGGCACAAACCTATTAGATAGACGCCGTGTGCTTCCATGTAGGTGTGGCTGTCCCGCATCAGTGACGGAAAAGACATCTGACCTGTCGTGGGGTCTGGAAGCGCTGTGTCGTCTGCCAAGTCGTGAAGCGCAAGAAGGCGGGGATAGAGATGCTGCATTGTTGCGCGCACGCTCATAGATAGGATCCTCTGAGCATGATAGTTGCGCACGTCCGCAGACACATTACGACCTGCGAAAGTATGTTGATCGATGAAAGCAAGAAATGACCGAATCACAATATCACACCTTTGAGGGGTTTGCACTTCATGATCGCTAGGGTGTATACAGGCAGAGCTCGAAATGCTTCAGGTATAATTAGCTGCGAAGCTTGTTAATGAAAGGGACGGAGATGATATCTAGCGGACTCGCCTGAGAGACAGCGGTAGCAGCCGCACAATTCCGCCGATAGCCGAGTAATATCGACGAACATCTATCAGTCAACTCTTCTCGAATGTGAGCCATTCGTCGTGAAGTCAATTTTGACATCGCTGGAATGAATGTGAGGAAAATTAAAGGTGGCAAAAAGAAGGTAAAATCGGACATTCCCTTGCCAGATGACACACTACGGCATCCATATCAGCATACCTAAAAACGTTGGCGGCCAAGTCTGCCACTTCCAGGGCAAGGTTACATGTTCGGACACGGCGTTGACCGTCTGGTGTCGTATGGAGCACAGCGCACTGCAAGAATGCATACTCTCGAGCATCCAACTTCCGTGAGTGCTCGATATGCACGGATATAGCTTTGTCGGAGTCAAGAATTCCAATGTCCAAGTCCGATACGGAACGCTCATGGAAATTTCCATAATAAGTTGATATTCGCAGGCCTGCACAACTTCGTGACTTCTTCGGGGAAGATATTGATCAATAAAGACTTACCATTGGAACATCGCACGCGCAATAAGCAATTGTATACTGTCGTGCGAGTTAGTAAACGCCGTAGTTGGGAAGTCAAAACGTGTTGATCTCGTGCAGGATTAAACCTAGGATGGAAAAACAGTTCGCCGCCAGTGGTAGAGGATACAATGCCTGTGAAGATGCTTAGCAATGAGAGCACTGGCAGCAGGAAAAAGAAAGACGTGCCGATAGATCCAATATCGATAGGTTTGCTCATCCCAAGGAACATACTGACGCCAATACCCTCCTCTGAGCACTCCTCAGCAATGTCTCTCCATGTCTGATGACGAGGGAGGAACATAGTTCGCTCTTTTTCCGTGCCATATAATGACGTCTGATCATGTAGTGGTTCAAGAGCACCGGGTCCAATTGCAGGTAAGACACTCTGGAAAGCAATGATGTGACCCCCTCGGCCTGCCTGCACGAGCATGCTTTAGCTAGATCACGTGATTATTAACTGGGACGTACGAGCGAAGCTAGCCCAGCAAGTAGCGCTCCCCCAAGCGCTGCATTATCAATGACGGTATCTAGATAACGTTCTGGTAATGCCTTAAGTAGACCTTCGATGGCGGTTCTTGAGAAGGGAATGAGAGTGACTTGAAAATTAAGGTAATAAACGTTCCTGACCTGGATTTCCAGGGATCTACAAACAAGCCCTCACGCAAAGGAATAAATACTTCCTCTAAGTCGGAAACCACAATCATGCTTGCCAATGACGAGGCTGGCTAGAATTTGTCTATATCAACTTGACGCAATGATGCGAGCTGTACGCTTACAGACAGATCATAGAAGTGTAGAGAGGTGTCATATGTCAGAATCGCAAGCTGAGAACCTTTTGGGAAGGACGGCTCTGACAAAGTTCCGTCAAGGGAGGTACCGCCGTAGAGCATATCTCGCAGAACATCACAAGCAGCCTTAAGAAAGCCCGATCGTATGGCTTCCAGCGAGACGTCAAACACAAAAAAATAGTTCAGGGATTTGGGCTCGCGTGCTTGAGAGGAAGGAGGGTCGATAGAGAAATACGATGAATTCATCTTCGGCAGAGGTGGAGGCGCCCAGTATTCGTTTCCTGAGACCACGAAGTCAACAGTTCCCTTGTTCAATTCAGGGCGATTTGGAAGATCTATTCGCATAAGATTTGCGTCCAAATTGCAAAAATAATCCGGCAACACTGGAAACCAAAACTAAGATACCAGTCACTTTAAGAGTCGCACCATGCCATACCTTGAGTTTCGTGACCGCAAAGATTACATTTCCATTTCCATCCGCCGGCAGTCCATGCACACCATGGGTTAATGTACCCTCTGCACTCCTTGCACCGAGGGGGACCTGAATCACCGCAGTCCACGACTGGGATAGGCTCTTCGCGGGGATCAAGATCTGCAAATGGCTGAAACACTGCCGTAAGGGGAATATCGCACTCTTTTGCCAGATGAGAGGAGCTTGGAAGGTTCCACGTTGATACTCTCACGTGTTTTGGGCTCGAGTTTCCTGTAACAGAAGATTCGCTCAATGACCTCGGAGCAAGATTCGAAGCCGAGGTAACAAATTGCCAAATGTCTGCGGTGAGACCAGCATGGCATACAATTGCGTGAAAAGGTGTTGTCTACGTCCCACCACACATAGCACCTAGCCCGAACGTTACATTCCTGGGAGGAAATAAGGCTTACCTTGGTCAAACGCTGTGAAGTCGGATGTTGATAGTGGTGGATTGTTCCCGGGTAACGTCATGAATGAATTTCCTTCCCATTTCTCCTTGTCCGATTCTATCATGTCTATCGGAGATGGCATCTGACTTGGGTCGATCCGAGGTCGCAACCCTGTGGAAGTAAGTGTCAACTGAAGATCACAAAGTGAAGAGGCAGTTGACGTTCCTTTGTAAGGTTCCCCAGCACTGTGCGGCGGTTGTGGTATGTGTCTGTTTGCATGCATGTAGATTACCACACTGACAAGCAAGTGTAATGGTTGGGTTGCTGTTGGAAACTGTTGTTTGGCAAAGGCTTTAGATCCAAACAAACAAACTAACTTGAAATTGATTTGCAACTTGCGCTTCAAGCGATCCATTCAGCTTGCAGGCATGGCCACTCCGCAAGTTACCTCCGTTCTACCCGTCACAACAGATATGCAATTACAACAATCTTCATCTGCTACACTTAATGAAGATATAACATCAAATGGCACTTTCATTTATCCTCAATCTCATACACGGTCCCCTCCGAGTCCATTGACTGCCACTTCGAATAGCAACCAAACTACTATAGGCATGGGGCCGATGTCTGGTTCTATACATAATGGCGCAAATTTGATTCTAGATCTCATTAAGACTGAAAGACAACAGGTTTTCGAGGTCGGCCAGCGAGAGATGGCACACATTCAGCAACAACATAGCGAGTATCGCGCATCGTATTCGAAAGTGATTCTGGAAGAATCAATCAAGCGACGTGATGCTGAGGACAAAGTTGTGTACCTCTCAACCGAACTGGCCAGATATACCAAGGGGGCCACTGAAGTACAGAATATCGCTTTGCAAGCTAGAGCAGACGCAACTGTGGCGCATAATACCGCTTCTGAAGCTGAAAAAGCAGCAGATGAAGCTCGCAGCCACCTCATGGCGGTCCAGGATGCGCTTCAGCAAGTTGGAATTACTGTTAGTCGAGATGACTCTGTAGCATCCAACACGCCGAAGATAATCTTGGGTACGCCATGGCTCGAACTCATCCCATCCCAAATCCATAGCTCAGATACACCACTCCCCGATTCCTCCAGTGTCCCAGACGACAAGCCGGGTTCTTCCCCTTCCCATACCCAGCACCTCGGCTCGCCATCAAAATTTATCTCATCTATTAGAGAACACGTCAGTTACCTCAGCGATACCTTGACTGCCGCCCAAAACAGCTGCAAAGATCTTGACTCCCAACGCAATCAGCTCCAGAGCGACCTCCGTATGCTGTGCCACGATCGAAACGAGTTTGAAAGCTTAAAGAAGGACAACGCGGAGTTGCTTGGCCAGTGGAAAACTAAACTTGCGAAATTGGAAAATGAGATACAATGGTTGAAAGTAGAGCGAGATGACGCAATCAAGGCCGAAGCGGAGGCTGCCATTGCACGTGAAGAGATGAGGAGCACCTCGGCAGCTAGTGCAGTCGCTCTCAAATCGTATATTTGCCTCCTGTTTTCAACCTGAATCATCCTACTAACGGAGGTTTCTACCAGCACGTTCGACCAGCTCTTACAAGATCAACAACGTCAAGCCGAGGCGAACGCTGAGAAGGTTCGGATAGCACTGGGGGACTCTATTGAAACCAAATCTATGCAAATCCGTGACCTACAGAGCCGGCTCATACAGCTTACGGCCACTGTAAATGAATGGGAAGGTAAATACGATGCAGTCACCGAGGAGCGTGACTCCCAGAAGCAGCTCCTGGTCGCTGAACGGCAGAAATACAAAGAGTATGTAACCGTTCAAACATGTGACACCGTGAATGACTGTACACCCAGAGCAAGCTCTAGCCAAAAGGAACAGATAGATGATTTGCAGAAACGACTGGAAACTAGTGCCTCAGAGGACGTCATAATGACCAAGGTATTACGAATAGATGAGCTTGAGAAGGAACTGGCCTCACTCCGGGCACACTACGCGAAGTCGATCCAGGAGAGAGATGAAGCCGTTGCTTTAGTCAAGTCTCGCGATGCACAAATGGAAGAGTTGCAGGAGACACTCGCAGTATCTTCAAGTCGCAAATTAACGAAGGAGTGTGCACGAAAGAATAAAGCAGGTGGAAGTTCCGAGGAGAAGAAAACTAGTCCATCGAAATCATCGAGCCCTCATGACCAGATCCAGTTCAGAGCGCCTGAGGTGCGCCCCGTAGCCGCGTCGATAGGTCTGTATGAATACCTCTTATGTTTTAGCGTCCTTTACTAACTTTGATGATAAGCCGATCAACGGTCTAAACAAATCACTGGCCCTAAAAAAATTGGGAAGCTGAAGTCCAAGTCCTCAAGCACTGCACCGGGTTTCTCCGCCGCTCGCCCGATGGAGATTGACTCAGCGTCATCGACTGACGTGGAAATCATCTCAGGACCGACACCAATTGTCTCGCAGGGGTCTAATAGTGAGTGACTATCGAACCATCATCGCATTTTTAGTTACGTATTACGTTTATTAGCGAAGCAAAAATCTCTCCGTACTGGATCGAACAAAACGCCTTTAGGTGTTAATACTATCCAGACAGTCGACTCCCCTGCAGAGAAGACCAGTCTCAAGCGTACTGCAGACACGAACGATTCTTCCACACCAATCACAAAGCGGCCCAAACTCTTTCTTGACTCATCCGCTAGCTCCGTTGAGAAAGCCGCGCCTGCTGCATCCAGCTCGCCGGTTTCAACTCCCTTGGAATCGAGATCTGTGACATCTTCACCAGTCATTGCAAAGCCTGCCTTCAACTTCAAATTTCGAAAAAATCCTGCGCAAGCAAGTACTTCAGTCTCCTCGGGCGGTGCGACGCCATCGAAAGCTATGGCTAGCTCGCCAAATGTACGCACATCCCAGAGCGCGACTTCAAACGAAGCCCCTTCTGTGGGAGCCGGCGACGGTGGCGCATATCGCAGATCAGGTAGCGTTGCCTCAGAGACTGAGCTCGCAGCAGAAAGCACGCTTGGTGCGAAACCTCGAGCCCGACTTCTGAGACATGGGCAAATGAAACCCGCCGTATCGACATCTAGCGAGGCTACCAGCTCCAAGAAGCATGCTGAATTCAAAAATTTCAACCCTGGTGATGTCTCTGCAAAGGAGCAGCCTCCTGGGTCATCGGCCCGCTCAACGGCAGTGAGTGAAGAGCAGCCGCAAAACGCACAAGATGCAGCATCTGCAAAAAGCACACAGTCTTTGCTGCGCAAATTCAGTAGGTTTATCTTTTCAAGGACATTTCAACCGAATTCACCCGGCTCCTAGGCGGCATAGATAACCTTTCAACACCTCCATCCAATTCTACTCCATCTCCGTCCCTTTCGACTGCCTCCGGGAGTGCAGCTGGTCGAAGCAAAGCCAATTCCTCTCGTGACACCATCTCCAAGGGCATCTCACAGCCAGCAGGAGCTAAGTCTATTCCTAAAGGCCCGAGGTCGTCGATGGCTATGTTACAAGTGACTCTAGAATCTTCTCCCAAGGCACCGAAGTCGATGACAGCGACTAGGTCATCAGGAAAGGTACCCCAAAGGCCAACGGGGACGCCCAATACCGGAGATATCAAGAAAGGCACCTAAATCCCTCTTCGTGTTCCATTACCTTGTATGATTAGCCGGGCTCTTCAATTACCCTGTCACTGTAAAACACTCAAATTCCCCGTATATTTGTCTTACTCTCGTTTAATATGTTTTACGAAAAGCTGGTCTCCTTTGTTGTACATGTAGTATGTACGCTGCTTAGATGGACGACAATTCAGTGGTACACATTATAGAAAAACAAAAAACAAAAACAAAAACAAAAACGGATTGAATAATAATTTCAATGAACATGTGAAAAGTGCATCGTAACTACCACCTCTAGCTGCACGGAACATGTGAGTGACTAAGTTGAGCCAGACTCGAGCAAGACACGTCGCTCGCGCGATCGCAGGTATCACGCGGCCCACTAGCTTGGTGTAAATAAAGTTAAGCCCAATCAGCAATTTGTTTTTGGAGACAATTCAAATCTTGTTCGGCCCCAAGGACTTGCGAGGATGATATCCGTGGACATTCAGCATAATTAGGGTGTGACAACTTGGAGTAATTGTTCTTGAAATCTTCTCGTGGTTATAATATATCATAATTGAAAGGAGTTACATAGCTGACTGTAACTATCAATGGTCTCGTTGAAATCTGAGAGGTGCATCAATATTAGCATGGCGTTGGTCAATCAAGCAAGGCTACGACAAGACACACGTATCGGTTGTAAGTGTAGAGAACGATAAGATGTGGTCTAAGAAGCCGGGAGGATGGTCGGATAATAGCCAGGTTTGGTTTGATCAGCCAACGTAAGAGAGACGGATGCCCAAGGACTATATCATAACTTCGCCGTTGAGCCATACACCCTGGTCTCCCACAGACTCCATACGAATGCCTCCTCCGGCGCTAGTCCACGCTTAACTATTTCTTCATACGCAGCCTTCACCTGGTCAGGACCACAAACCCGCCGAAGTGATACACCCCAGGTTCCACAGTCGGACATAAGCCTGGTCCAAGCTTCCTTCTGCATCTGAGTGATCGCAGAAACAGAAAGCTGTTGCTTGCGGATGGAAAGCCACTCAGGCATGAAAAAATGTTCCAGTTTTGGGTCACCTCCTTGCGGAGCCTCTGAATCAGAACCCCAGCTAGCAGCAGACGAGGGTTCGGTTGTAGAAGCTGACACGTTCGTCAAGCCGAGCGCAATGCATGTGACGAGTTCAGAGTCGCCACACGCACGGAAATGGTCGCGCACTCTGGCGTTAAGTCCATCGTTACCTGTAACGTCTACATATATCCAGTGTCCCCGTGCGAGGTCCCCGACAAGTGACGTGTCAAATGACTCGTAGTCAAAGGCATCGTCGTATAGGGCAAGCCGTTTCGTGAAAGCGATATTCTTCGTTGACGTCAGTCCAATCACCCGTCTCGTCGAACTCCCCTGCAGAGAGTTACGTCTGCGGATCAGATATGCCAGGCAGAAGGCAGTCTTGGAAGAGGCAGAGGATATGAGGATATGAGTGGACCCTCCCTTGTAATTGGACGAATTAAGCCAGTCCTCGCACCAAAATGAAGTCCAGAAAAGAGGGCGATAGAGCATTGTGAGATCTTCCGCAGTTGGCGATGGATCATATAACGGGTCCTCGGCGCACCGCGTAATCTGGTTGTATGGTCGACGGTCTATAACATTTAGTGAGTGCCTTCGTGCGTCAATCTATGAACCAAATCACCTGGAGGAAGATGAGGTCGCGGCACAAAGAAAGCATACTTGTTGGCGTCCGAGGTTACCGGGAGTAAAAGATATCGTGCTGGGGCGAAGTATCCATACACTCGCTCTCCAGTATGGACTTTAAGGTGCGTGGACTTTATGATAGTACCAAAACCCCACACAGGAGTCACACCGTGAGTTGTTGAGGAGACTCCTTCTGCATCTGGAGGGTGGTGGAATTCAAAATACCTAGCATGCTGAAGTGGTTAGACGACTCGGAAATGTCTAATACTGCGGAAAGGGACGGACCTGAAGTGCGAAGCCTCGCCCAAAGCTTGATATGTCATGTTGTTCGTGGAGAAACCGAAGCGGTCGACTTCTAGCAGGACATGGTCATTGGGAATAGTCTGTGGAACTTCACATTTGACTATTATCGCTTGATTGGGATCTTGACTAGAAGACGCCCTCGGGTGACAGAGTATCAGATTTTCCATCTGTTGCACGTTGACATTCAGATTCGACAGACGAGGATCGACAGGATAATGGCACTTGTACTGTGGTTAAAGCTAGAAGTGTATAATGTATATTTACTACTACTAAGTACTTTACTGCACCGCCACCACCGTGACTCATCTGAGACTCTATACCAGGGGCTGCGGCAGGACGCGGGCTGGAGAGACTCATGATGCACAAGGCGGTCCTGTCAATGACAGGAGGTATCAACTGTATTAAGTTTCATTTTTAATGATAAAGTTGATTGTACACTTGCTGTATTTCTACTGCTACTGTATTCTTGTTTCACAATAAGCAAATCATCTGGCTTGACCCGTTGTCGAAGTGCGGGAACAGTTCGGCAACGAGCTCGATACGCAGCAGAGCAAACCGCGCCAGATAAGATAAAAAGGAATGAATCGCCGCCGAAAGGATGTGCAGAGGAGTCTAAAGAACAACGGGCAGGAAGATTACTGAGAATTTGGAAAGGAAGGCAAAACTGAGAGTTGTGAAAAAAAGCGCAATGTGCAACGTGCAATGATGAACGGTATTTCTTGCTTTGATGAAAATGCGGATACGAGGTATGGTTTGGATAAATATGCGGTGGTCGTACGGGACGACACGATGCCATTTTAGTAGGGCGGGCGCTTGAACTCGTTGCTGATGATCTGTGCCTCAGGGTCGAATTCGTCGTCTTTTACGATTTTGCCACTGGCATCGTACTCGGCAACAGAGCGATCGGGACTAGCGAACGTGTCCATCTGGACATGTGGGATTCAGAATGCAGAGGAAGGCGTCTGTGGCAAACTTTTACCTGAACGTGTACACTGTCGCCTTTCTTGACGGAAATGCGATTATTTGCGCTAGCGTTGCTCCTGAATGCGAGTGTCGAGCCCTGGGTGGAACTGCGTTTGAAGAAAAGGGGTAAGTGGAGGAACGTACAAAAGGACTGAAAACGTACGTGAAAACCTCTGGACCTTGAGAGGTGAAGTTGGTCAACCTTCGTACGACGCGGCATGCTACGATCTGGAAGTGCATGTTAGTATGCACTTAAAACACTGCATTTGTGCAAACCGTTGATGCGATGGCAGCAGGGACATTTGCAATGATCGACAGGACTGCATTCAAGTTTATGAGCATGAAGATCGTCGCCATCAAGTTTGCCAAGAATCTGGGGTAGTCACGATTGAATAAGCGAAGACACAACACACATCAAACGTACGCAATAACAAAGTAGATCAGACCGTCCCCAAATATAAGCTTGATAAGTTTGGAGCGACCGTTAGCCGGGAATGCGAGTTTCCAGCCGGTTAAGCACAAGACTGTGAAGTCAAACGCCATGGAGTAGATGAAGGTAATGGCGAGAATTTGGTTATCCGTGTAGATGATGACACATTCTTCATCTACCCATGCAGCATTCAACAAAATCCCTGATGAAATCGGTTGTTATACCCGCATATATGCGCTAATTCAGTGGACAAAATGCGCGTACCATGAAGGAGGAATGACCAATGACCGAGAATGATCAGAACGAGGGCGGTGACTACATATTTGTTTTGCGACCATACCGCCATGCTGTAGTATGTGTCAGTTGCAGCAGGCCGGAAATATATATGTTTGCGACCGACGTTCGCAATGACAGATTGATGCTAGCTAAACCGATTGCAGAGTTTCCAAAGATCTGGTTGAAGGTATATAACGCCTGGCAATTAACCTCGGTTGTCACGTTGAGCGCAATAGAGCTAATTATTGTGCTTCAATAAAACGCGTAAAGCGAATGAAGAGACGGGACTTACATTCCGATCAACGCGAAGAGTAAACTGTAACGGCCAGAAAAGTAGAATAACTGTCACAGATTTATTGTTCGAGGGGGGACACTCAAATATTATGGGACCTTACCAAAGGCCATCGGAATCGCCTCTTGCCCGAGATAAACTGCCAGTCAAAATCCAGCGAACTGACGAATTCCCATCTACACCGTATCAGCGACAATCCTTGACTCGCATGAACGCATCTTACATGTAGAGCCCAAAGAGTACATGCATGAACTTGCTGAATGCCTCTACTCACACCGCGTAAGGCTAATAAACCTAAACGAGATATCTCTCTGACTTACCAGCGTTTGCGACTAGGGTCTTTTGGGAGTGCCAGTCGACCATGGTAGCTTTCTGGATTTACAAGGAGGATGGTAAAGAGCCTGAGGGGGATGAGGCTTCGAAACTGAAGGTTTTCCTTAAATAGGGCACGGGTGCTTGTTGGGGCCTCCTTCTTGCCATATATGCGAGCAGCTTCTAATAGAACTTCAACAATATTATCGATAGCCTCTTCTTACACGGAACCAGTGACTGCAACGCAAGGACGGATACGTAAGGCACTCCTGTTCGGAACTCAGATATACCAAATACCCGAGGGGGGCACTTGGTCGTGATTTCGATATACGCAGTGGCCCTACCGCTCGTGACTACTTACCTACAGAGATATCGTGCATCCAGAACTTCAGCTTCAGCCCGGCATGGACACGAAGGTAGCGAAGTTCATTGAGTAAGACCACGTGGAGGGTACTCTCGATTGAAGTGCTGAGGATGATCCATGCTGTCTTCGCTTATCGTATTGATGATCTTTGGAGTAGTGGCACTTGCCACTTTATGTAAAAGTTTAGAGAATCCCGCGAATTTCAAATACGGACTTCAGCGCAAAACAGTCGAATGAGTCTGCTGGATGTTTTATTTAGTACCAGTAGTCAAGAAAATATCACAAACCGCTAACGAAACCTTCCTTCCTCGTGTTTTGTACGTGTTGTAGTAAAAACTACTGCAGTATGCTCTGTCACAACCAGATTCTATATGAATTACGAAAGCAATTAGATAGGTTGAGGAGGTAAAGGAGACCATGCAGACCTTTTTGTCTTTAGTGCAGCGATAACTGCATTCACTTGTTACACAAGGTCTAGTTTCTCTTATACACTAACCTATGAGGAAACATAGACGCCCAAGTACCAAGAAAATCGTCTGCAGCTGAGCAGTCTGAGCATCAGAAGTTCAGAACCTGGGGTGTTGTCGATGAATTTGTCCCCAACGACACGTGTTACTGGCACGTTCGCTGACTAAGCGATCCCTCGGAACCGTCGTAACCGCCGACGGACGAGGTTTTACATCGATTTCTTCCTGCTGGCGGGAAGCTGCATATACTGCTCTGAGGCTTGAGGCCCGAGGTACAATCCAAGTTCTCCGTGATGATTAATTAGTACATGCCACGTATGAGTCGGATCAGTGCGGTCGTTGCATTGTAATGCCAACGTTCTATCCAGTCATGGCGCCGCTGATGACATAGCTCTAGCATATTCAGGCCGAACCGATGGTTTCCAAAAAACGACTCGAGTCTCGACCAATTGCAAGAGTCGGAGGAGGCACTTACTGTGACGGACGGACGAACTGCCGGTCTTTCTTCCCAGTCAAATCTCTGCGCTCTGCAAACCTCTTGTCTTTACATACTCAATTTTTCTCATTGATCAAACTGACATTGTTATCTTTTCAGGTGATTTGAAATATTGAATTTCAAGTTTCACCACCGACATGTTAGCCCAGCTGCAGGTGTTGAAGAGCTAGTGCATCTTGATTTCTTGTCAAGAGCGCGGGCATAGTGGTTCACTACAGTGACTCAGCAGGCCAACTCAGTTCGTGTACGGCAAATGTTGTGCGGAAGGGGCCATCATCGAAAGCCATAAGTTGAAGCTTGTGGCGTTGTTAACGGACATTCTGAGAACAAGTTATAACTATCATGCTGACGTCACGAACGGTGAGCATGGCTTCTTTCAGGCAAGAAGTTCTTTGCCTGATACCTTGCAGATCGCTGGAGCTGTAAACGAAACCGGACCAGGAGCGTATCGGGCTTCTCCACGTCGACCGTCTTCTGCAGGAGTTTTTTTCTTCGCGCAGGTGACCTTACGTTTTTGTTGGATTTGACACGCATGGTCTACAAACCTTTCTCGTGACCGCCCTCATCTCCGCAGGTAGTGGGTAGCCTACCTGTGTTCTCCGTTGATTCGGTCGACGGCTACCAGCAGTCCTTCATTACACCATCATCCCACGTCTGTTACCTTTGTGATTCACCCACGTGTTGGTCCCCGTGCTCAGGCCTCAGGGACTGCTCATTTGTCATTCATTACCTCAGGCCCTCTCCCATCTTCTCACACTATCTCAGGACAGTCGACATTCAAGCTTCAAAGCTTCAAGCCTCATAAATAATGATATCGTGAATTCTCACGACTACCGAAGAAGGGCCTACGATATTGTCCCCAACCTCTAGGTAAAGAACAACACCTTGAACTCTAACTGCACTCGTGCTCCTCGAACGACGTTTCCTAAGTTGCAGCCAGAAGACTACTCATATGTTTCGGTTCGTACATATACCGGGGGGCGTGTTTGCATTTCAGTTGCATATCCAGAGACTAGGGATGTCCACCTAGCCCTTGTTCAGTAGCTGAATGCGCCCAGAAGGCCCATTTGAAATCATCCGTCCTGACCAGCTTTTGTGACATAATGCACGTCCCTCACTGTCCGATGCGCTCGCTCGTACCGTCACCTCTTTGTATGATAACTTGAAACCCGGGTTACTTTTTAGCCGCCGTCCTTACTTCATCTCCATTCTTAATTGGAACCGCCGGCACTCGATATTCAGCTTCCGATCGCGGCGCAGACCCCGGGCCCCGGCTGTTTTATTATTTCCTCGGTTCGGTGGCGAAAATTTGGAGCCAGTCGGTCATTAATCAATTGCTATACTTGATCCACTAGTCAGATGCATCTATCCGAATCACGACCGAGACTTACAGGTCTTTTCGAGCTTTGTTACCAATATATTCAAGTCAGTCGTCCATACCTGCCATGGGACATTCCAGTCCAGTATGAGCCACAGTACCGTGACGGTCCGAATGGTATCCCCAGGTTAAGAGGAAAAGGAACGTGCATTTAGTCCATGACCTGTCATGCAAGTCATGTCATTCAGGCATCTTGTAGCGGACTGACGGCGACTCGATACGCTGCAGTTGTATAGCTGGGACATCTTCCTACCAAATCAAAAGCTGGTCTCGACTCTGGGCTCTTCAATAACTGCAATGATACTATCAAGTGCGGAAAGACGGAGAAACACCAAGGCGCTTTCTTGATTCATGATAAGTAGATGTTACGGTTTGCTCTTGAACAAGGGTTTCAATCATGAAATCAGCTTTGCCAAGAGTCATGGGAGCGAACTCATTTTCACAGGAGAACGTTCCAGTGATCACCAGGGCACAAGTCCAATGATCAAACATGGAACGGGTTGGTATTGCATCAACCTGTCCGGGCAGTTGATGGGCCATAATACTGCCAACTTCTCATGGTTCATGCTTACAATCAATACAACCATGACAGCAATGGAACTTACGAAAGGGTAGTAACCCCGTGGACCGTTGTCGAAACAGATAAATAGCATGGCCCTGCTGATACTATCACAACACACTCCTTTGTTCTCCAACTTGACGGTCTCGGTGCCGTTAATAACTGATTAGAAGCTTCAAGCAGTTCTTAACCGCTAATAAGATGGTAGACTGGAAATCGGGGGAAGTGGTCCAGATGGATTCCAGTGCGTATTGGTGGTCTTTACATTAGTTTTACTTACCCGCCCTCAGTGATCTTCCTGAAGTTTATGCATGCCCTCCTTGGTCTATACTTGTGAGATTAACTTGTTTGCGCAGTAATGATTATGATCTAATAGACGACTCAGATGGGAATTCTTTATCTCTCTGGATTTCGAATGGGCTGTCATGACGGGCAAGACGAGGTTCCGTTGGCCACTGGTGAGGACATGTCTGGTGTTTTGTTGAAATACATTTCTGAACCTGCCGTTCACCAGATTTTCTACTTTGCCGGTCGGTATCTTCTTCTTTTTGCACTCATTGGAATGTAAGTGTGCCATTCTTTCGTTCCACCATTTCTCACTCTTCACCTAGTGCTGTAGCCCTGGATACACCAAGGTACGCCGCGACGTCAATTCTCGTCTCTCGATAATCTAAACAGTTCTGTTTCCCACTAGTGAAATCAATTGTCAAGTACTTTATGCCTTTAATCAGGTGAGTTCACATCATGGGAAGAATAGCATGGAAGATCATTCCATTTAGCTGGCTGGCAATGCGGCAGTTGGACTCGCGAGCATCAACCTTTCTGTCCGGACGTGAGTCAAGGATTGATCATGTGTCATGCCTGTCTTATCTGGTGATAGGATCGCTATCTGGTCCCAGAACACTTGGATCGTTATCCTCCTGGTGTTAATGATTATCGGGCATTGGTCTCTCATCCTACAAGGTATATCACTTTCTCACAAGCTCATGAAACTAGCTGACCGAGTGTCCTTGCAGGTATCCTTCTAACTGCCGTCTGGCTTCCCGGCGTCGGTTGTGCAATCACTTACAGCGATACCACTATCCTTGCTGCCACTTTCATTTATTCAATGTGTTTCGACTTTGTGGTCTTGTGCCTTTCGGCATATAAGCTCGCCTGGACTCATACGCGGAGTGGCACGAGCATCGCACCCTCCAGACTTGTCAGGATGTTGTTCTCTGATGGCTTGATATATTTTTTTATCGCGTACGTCTGTTTATTTCCTTTCCAGCTGGTCAACACATAACACATCCTGCGTCAGGTTCGTGTCCAATGTGATCGCGACAACTATGATGGTGCTCAACTTGAACGCCATCATGAGTGTTATTTTCAACGTCCCAGCTGCTATTGCTTCAACAGTAAGCCTAGTTTCTTATATGCTCGTTTTCTTGCTGGACTATTGGATGCAGATTGTAGCATCTCGTGTTGTTAGGCGGCTGACCAACTTCCAGCGTTCAGGAGTAGAGAATATGTAAGTGTATTTTGCTGTGTATGGATACGTCGGAGCTGCTACATTGTTCACTTTTTGGCAGCCTCCCTCTGGAAAACTGCGGTACTGCATTCAAGAACACTGATGCAGGACTTTCTAACCCGATTGGCACACCAAGGACTACTGGCGTTCATGTTGAGGTGGGTAATAAACCCATGTAGTGTGCCTTTCTTCCCTCATCGATGTCACTGTGTACAGATGGACACCTTCACACGTGCAGCGAATTTTGACCTTGCGGGGTATCGTAGTGTCCATCGCACCGCGTCTTCAGCAGCAAGCTACAGTGAGGACCATAAGCCAGTGCAGGTAGTTTGAGGTAACTCTCGCATTGCTTGGGCATCTTCGATGACTAGGCAGTCCTGCGAGATGCTTTTGCATTTATTTTTATTTGGACTATTCTCAGAAATTCAAGTTATTTATTATTTACCCCACAACGTACTTCAAAGGTACTGCTCGATGGTTCCTCTCCAATAACATTCAGACGCCACGTACACAATGACGAGCCCAAAACTTATCTACAGTGCGATTCATACTCTCGGATGATTCAGACATGATTATGAAGACTCTTTTACCCCTTTAACTTATTTATAATTAGGTGTCATTTTTGCAGAACTCAGCAGCATTGTGCCTTCAAATTCATTCATTGTTGCTTATTACTATTTAGTTAAAGTTACGAGCAATCACAAATTGTATATGACAATTGTATCCACCTTAAGCTTAAGATCATAGGTACACCGGTGGTGACGCGTGACGTTCCATCCATGCATTCACTCTGTTTCAACAATATTAATCCCTCTAACGTCCAGTGTCGGACCATGGTATTCACTTCCCTCAGTCTTTCCAACTAAGACTGAGGTGAGCTACTTAGTACTATGACTCCTCTGCAAGTACCCAATGCTAACGATACATAGTTTTCTCTTCCTCTGATCCAAGTCGTTTCTGGGTATGAATTTGTCGTAGTTTATTAACTTATTAGTCAGTTGCTACCAATACACCTCGCTTGTCTGAAAACTTTGACGGTCCGAGTGAAACTTACAGTCCCTCGGTGCGTCCCCACACAGTCGAGGTTGGTTTGTCCAGGTTTCTTTCCGTCCACAGAGCAGTGGCTCAAGTGTCAAGAATATCCCGTTTCACTGGCTCGTCCCGTACCATCCGCGCGTTCTCCGAGACCGAAGCTGTCTGGGGTCACTGTGTTCTCTTACCGTCTTGTCGAGCTGGCGTCGCGTGGCGCAGTGATTGTCACGGTGCCATCTGATTCTTAAGTAAGCTTGCGCAACCATCAATTTGCTCGTGATCATGATCAGCTTACATTCTACATAGTAATCGAGGCGCTGTCAGCACGAGACGCCAATTGCACCAATGGTCCAGACCATCCAGATGTTAAATCATTACCCGTCGCACTATATAATCCCATGTTCCGAACCGTAGCACTACCCCAACCTTCTCTGAATCCACATCATGTCAGACGCACCTCAAGTCAAGGCCACCTCGAACGGCATTTCTCCTCCAAGCTTCCACTTGCCGGTCAGTCGTTGTCGTGGTATTCACAGATTCTTTCTGACAAGGCAGTAGTTACCTGATAGACCAGACATCATCACCGCCAACATTCAGAAACTCACGGAGCTAACGCCTAATCCGTACGTGCCATGAGTACTTCAAACGCAAGTGGGTACACATATAACATACTGTATGCCTGCAGACGCCACAGGTTCATCTTCAAGGCACTGATCAAGCACCTGCACCAGTTCATCAATGAGACCAGGCATGTATGCTTCCTGTTAAATCTCCAGTTCTCGATTGACGCCACGACTATTTCTAGTCTAACCACAGACGAATGGATGGCAGCGATTGATTTCTTGACGCGCACTGGACAAAAGTGCACACCATTGCGTCAAGAAAACATTCTACTATCAGATGTCCTGGGTGTTTCTGCTCTCGTCGACGCGCTAAACAATCCCGTTGCGGGAGGTGCAACCGAGAACAGCGTCCTGGGTCCATTCTTCACCGAGGACGCTGCAGATGGTGAGTTGCAAGTAATTCCAATGCACGTCTATATGTAAATCGACTCGCAGTGGACTTTGGTGAATCGATTGCATCTGAAGGAAAAGGAGATTACATGTACGTCGAAGGTCGGATTTTGACGACTGACGGGCAGCCGATCCCCAACGCCGTCATTGATACATGGGAGACCGATAACCATGGTTAGTTCCTTTCAAATCTCATCTTACGATTCATACTCATTATCTCTGTCAGGATTTTATGACACTCAATACGCAGACCGCTCACATCCTGACTGCAGAGGTCGCCTACGCTCCGACGACGATGGTAAATTTGGCTATCGCGCTGTTGTGCCAATAGCGTACCCAACTCCTGGAGACGTAAGTTGATGTTTCATGCCTACGTAAATCTTACACTGAAAATGTCATCTTCAATAGGGTCCTGTTGGTGAACTTCTTCTCCTTCTTGGCCGGCACAACATGCGACCAAATCATATACACATGATGATCGAAGCTCCTGGTTTCCACAAGTTGGTCACGGCATTTTATCCAGATGGCTGCGACTATCTAAGAAGCGATTGCGTCTTCGGTGTCAAGAAATCTTTGGTAGTGGTATGTCTAGGTTCCTAGGTTTCTTTGAGGCCACTTGGTTTGACACTCGTCTTTACAGAACTTAAAGGACGTTGTAGACGATGAAGAAGCTCGTAAACGCGGATTTCCTCAGGGTGGCTCATTCAAGTTATTGCAATATGACATTGTGTTACTCACAGAAGATCAGTCTGCCACGATACGTGCTGGCGTTGAGGGACGTTACACGATTACGCAGGATCATAAAGGTAATAAATCGTAATGGACTTGATACGGTGTCGTCATCGTGTATTTCTGATATTCTGTTTCACTTGTGTTCTTTGCTGCGATGCCGTACCGACATCTGTGATGATTTTTTGGAACACCCCATGTGACGTGGAATGCAAAGTGGATGTTCACTAGAGTGTACTAGTGAAGCTTGTTACGATTCCGAAATAGACCAGCTGCTCTTTGTCTTTCAAAAACCATGTTATTTTGTAAAGGTAGGACCCCTCACAAAGGAGTATTATCCTTATATTAGTGTCCCTTCCCTTTCCAACAACGACCACTTCTCCCTTCTCGATTATCTCCCATCTCTCTCATTTGTTGACTATCCACAACGACTATTTCTCTCCCTTCTGCGGGCAAGGTCAAAAAGGGAGGGCCCTTGAGATGAAGATGAAATGTGGTGGAAATGTAATCCACAATATATAATCTTATGATGACCTTGGAGTGTCGTCCACTTACTTGGCCGACTTCCAGCTACATCGTCTCTATTCGGAAATTCATTTTAGTTCTACATTTCCTTCCTACCGGCTACCACTACTAATTCGCAAACAATAACAGTACTGCGGCATTGTCGGTCATCCCCTCTACATATACATCATCCTGCCGGCATCATCGTACACTGTGCGTAGGCAAATGAAAATGAAAAAAGCCCATATACTATTTCGTTTCCAACTATGATGTACATACTTTTAGAAACCCACTAACTATTTCGCGCCATAGCTCCACTCCGTGTCTTACAACATCGCCAAGTTCCCGTTCGCACCAATACAAAATGCAACTCCACATTACTTTGTTTTAAATAATAACTCTGCCAGTGCTCAGGATATTACGTCCGTACGCTGGCTGTGCTGCAGCATGTAAACTACAGCATGTCGGCAATACCACAGCAGCCACCAGATGAGCACCTGCTGAGTACTCGTCCTTCAAATCCTATAACGATCTAGCGTGCTTTCCATAGATTGAAATATCTATTCGACCATTCAATCTCAAATTACGAAGTTTACACTCACCATCGCTCGACAGCTTCATCACTGCGCAATCTAAACCCAAATTTGATTCAAATCCTCGTACGTCGTCTTTTGAGTTAACCATCGTTTCTAACGGCACCCTCGAACCCAATTAGTACTTTCAGTTGGTTCATTGCATCTCGCATATCACAACCTTTGTCAATGAGTGATGATCAATGTCAATACTCCCATCTCTTATCTCTTGCATGCTCTCCAACTTCTTTGACAGTTTTTGAAGGAACTTGGGCGAGACTCTCCCAGGTTGCTGTCAGGGTGCCCAATACAACTCGCGCGAACGTCAGCCCCACCCGAAATGTTTGGACAATATCTCAGACCATACATCTGAACCGGTCTCTGGATCATCGGTGATTGCATCTTACATCTAATAGTACGACGTTATATAGTATCTACAACTGCATAACAACGAGCGCATGGGTCGACCAATATTCAGGTAGGTCAACGTTGTATCGGGGAAGGACCCGTGAACCGATCAACAATGTTCAGCCTAGTTGCGCTGCGTCACAAGATTTTGGAAATGTATCAGGTTTCTGAAGAGTCAATGAGCGTTCATCAGAGACAGAGGTCGCAAAACCATGCCATTCAGTGCACTCTGCGTAGTACTAGTACAAAACGAAGTCTACTTCGAATTGATCATCGCTCGGAGGTATCTTTCTCTCGCCGTGTTCACACTTTCAAACGAACACTGAAATGGCTCAGGGCGACTTCGGTAGAGTCAGCCGCAGGTCCTTGAGTACATACTAGGCTACTTACATCGCCAAGCCGGCGGTGAACTCCGGCTTCACCTCAATCCTGTTTCCGTTTGAGTCTTTGGCATGATCGATGCGCAAGACAGCGAGTATGCCAGCAGTTGCGGTCCAGAGACTATTCTCTGCAAACCAGCGACCTGCCAAGAAAATTTGACGTCCTCAGCACTGCCAGATCAACCATGAATAATCCTACCAGGACAAATACGCCTTGCAATAAGGGTCAGTGAATGACTTTAAATGATAGTAAGTGCGGAATATTCACCTGCCATGACCAAAGGCAAAATGGTTGACGAAGGGGTCCTTCAGCTTCCCGTCAGCTGTCAGATGGCGACTTGGATCGAAGCGCGATGCATCGGGAAATATGTCTTCATCCCGAGAGAGTGCCCTGAGGCACGCCCAGCTCAAACCGTCGTTACATGCACTCCACCATGACATACCACTGATTAACCATTACCATCGCACCTGATTGCACTGCAGGTGAGTCAACGACAACCTCGACACATATGACTTCGAACCTTTGGGTATGAAGTACCCGTCGTAAACATCATCATTTGATGTCGCATGTGGAATTCCTGTGCAAGTGGTCAACCATTCAAACAGAGCTATATTACTGCGGACTAACCTAGGGGAACGACAGGATACCATCTCAGGACCTCGCAGAGAATGGCATCAAGGTAGGGCATTGATGC